GAAGATGAAATATTAATTTTTTGTTAGTCTTTTTAAATTATTTTACCTAAAATTCGTTTGAAATTTTTAAAAATTTAAAAATCTAGCTGCAATTAGGGGTGAACGCGGTTCGGTTTGGACGGTTTGTGCTAAATTTTTAACTCAAACCATTTTTAGCGGTTTGAAATTTTCAAACCAAATCAAACCATTTTATTTTTCAAACCAAATCATAATTTGCGGTTTGGTTCGGTTTTAATCCGCAGTTTGCCTTTCGACATTATCATAATGTATTGAACATAGTTAAATATAAGTGTAAACGAGAACTAATGATGTTAAATATTAAATTACATTCATATTTACTATGGAACACATGAATAAATTATTTTCAAAATCGATTGCTAAAAGATGTTAATAGAACAAATACATATTTCTTCATTTTTATTTACCCTTTCTTGTTTGACATTCATATTGTTATATAGTTGTTGGTAAATATAGAGTTACATTTTATTATTATAGTTTAGTTACAACTCTTTTTGTGTTTTTCTAGTGAGATGCAAAGTAAAAGGTAATAGTACTAGTTAGAGAACTTTAACATTTTTCACACAATCAATACGCTTCGTCATTCATTCTTTTCAAATAAAAAACAAGTTCATTAATCATCTAAGCACACAAACAATCATTTTTCTATATAAATCACAACTTACAAGTGTATAATAAGTTCAAAAAAAAAAGTAAAGAAAGAACAATGGAAAATGGCCTAAATAAAAATCCAAGACTTATCGAAAGAGAAGAGAGAAAGAGACAATTCAAGAAGATATTAGTAGACTAACAGGTAAAAGTGACTGGCGATTCGTTCAGTGGTGGTAGACAAACGTCAGATGTTAGAAAAATGAGAGCTTATGTTAGGGTTTCTGAAACTTTAGATGCGATTTACTGATATAGTTTTATTAAATTATGATTTGGATTGTTAATATATATATATATTTTTCATTTCATATGATTTTGGAATAATTTTAGTTTAGTTTAGATATCAAGCGATGACGTGTGTTGTGAACCTATTAAATCATATGTCAATAATGATGAACCTAATTTACTTTCTATGATTATTTCAATAGGTTGGTTGTAATTTGTATGGTTAAATTGATTTTTTTTTTTTTAAAGTGAAAAATGTAAAATTTTTAAGATAATAAAATTAATTTTTTAATTAAAAAATTTAAAAACGGTTCGATTTGATTTTGTGCGGTTTTTTAAAATCAAAACCTAAACCAAACCATTTTGAAACGGTTTGGTTCGATTTGAGAAAAAAGAAACCACGGGTCCATGTGGACCCAAACCAACGGTTTCAACTCAACGGTTTCGGTTTGGTTTGTGGTTTCGCGATTTTTTTGTGTAGCCCTAGCTGCAATTATTTAAATTTTTTATATCCTTTTTTTTTTTTTTTAACTCTATTTGTGATTTGTAGATGAGGGTAAATTAGTAATATTACAATGCATTAATGAAGAAAATAGATGGTACGGAACTTTTATGCAATGAAGACAACTGGTAGGGACATTTTGCACAATGAAGAAGTATTATAGGGACATTTGTACAAATTATCCATATTTGATAGAAGGAATTGACGAAATTTGGTCCTTTTTCGTCTCATTCCATCAATTCCTTTTGCACTAATTACCCTATTAGAAAAATTGTGCATTGTTTATGTTATAGATTTGACTTTTGAACTTCCTGCAAATATGTTTAAATTTGAAGTATTAAAGATGTCATTGTAATCGATGGTGGATTACTGAATAACATTTTTAAAATTAGGAATTTGCCTCAACAAGAACCATGGTCAGATATAGGTATTAATAGGAGTCAACTATTTTGTTGATCAAGAATTAATACTTGGAACCTCAATTTTTGATGGATAGTATATTTGGGCTGTTTGGTTATTATTTGAGACAATCTTGCTACACAAACAAGGTCAATTATAGGATTTAAAAATAAGGGACACTTGTCAAATATTCATTAGATAGTTTGAAAAAAAAAAAAGGGAAAAAAAAAAGAAAAAGAACCACAATAGCACCAATCACCTAATCCTATCAACTGTCCCTGTTTGAGTAGCTTTATCATATTTGAGTTATGAAGCTAGCACTTAGTCCAACTTCCAGCTTCTAACATCTAATTCAAACAATTTTCCCAGTCAATTTTTTTTTCCTTGCTTCTTAGTACAGAAAGTTGGTTTTGAAACCCTTTTGAGCTGGCTATATTTGAGACTCTAAATCACTCTAATCGAAGGACTATAAAAATAGTTATGGTAGTTTTCATAAGCTGCGACAGTGTCATCCTAGTATTGTCTACCTACTTGCAACTTCTTTGAACAACTTGAAGTAAGGCTGGACCCAAATATTTTGGGTTAAGAGGTCATAATCAAACTTTCAAAAAAGTATCCAAAAAAAAAAAATTTAAAATAAGAGATATCTTATTATAATTGTTCTCTACGTTGACTACATTGAAAGAAAATAACTAAAATGAAATAGTAATATGACACACCTTCAAGAAGACGACAGTGGATGGAGCCAGAAGTTAGAAACTTAGAAATATGCAGACCAGCGCAAAAGAATAGGCAAAGCGTGACAGCAAAAACAACAGCTGAATGGAAGATTGTGGCGGGGGCTTATTCAAATGGGGCTTATTTTAATGGGACTTATTCAAATTGGCAGTGACTAATGGCTTATTCAAATGGTGAAGACGTGAAGTGTTGGCCAGTGGGTAAATGGTAATGGCATATTATGGTAGGGGATTATTCAAATGGCGGGAGAGAAAGAGACAAAGCTTCAGTGCCGGTGGCATTGTATAAATGTAGGGTTTAGTTTTTTTGTTTTTTTTCAAAATCTATGGGGTCACGTTACCCCCTAGGCCCACCCCAGGTCCACCCATGTCTTGAAGCACTAATGGGTTTCAATAAATTATGCAATTTTGATATGTTGTGCTTAGATGACTTATTTGACCACCGTATAAATTTTAGAATCGTGACAAGTATGGAAAACAATTTTTAGAGACAAACTATGCAAATTGAAATAGTGAAAAATGATTTGCCTTTAGTTAAAAGATTTAAATTTCCAGACTTAATGTGCACTTTTTAATGCTCAAATCCATATTGTTTAAATCGTCTTCTGCTTTTCAATAATTGGATAGATAGAAACTTAAATAGTAGTGAATCGAGTTAAACAATTTGGGAAATTATATACTTGAAGTTGCAAAGTGGTAAAATTTCAAATACTAATATGGATAGTATAATTGCCCTTAGTTTGTATATACATAAGAATTCATCAACTAACTAAAAAATAGGATAATTACCATTAATTTCCCCTCTGATAACAATAATTTGTGCGAAAGTGTGCCCGAGATTTTTAGAGCTTCTCAAATACTAATATGAATGGCACTAAAAATTGTTATATAAACAAAATAGAGAATGTCTACAAAAGTTCATCTCCAATACATCATCTCCAGCTATTATCAATGGCTTCAAGGTATTATCAATGACGTCAAGAAATGCAACATAAGTCAATTTTGATTGCTAAAATATTTATGTTTTATTTTATTTGACAGGTGCAAACTTTATATCATTAAGTAAACAATATTTTAAACCAAACTAAACCTTAGAAGTTATTTTGATTTGAAAATTAAAATGACATGGCTTGGATTTTTTATTTTTTATTTTTCAAACCTTTTTAAATGATTTAGTGTGAAAATAGATCAAAAATCAACCAACCAGACCGTGTTCACCCCTAGCTCCACTTAAAAGGATAATATGTATTGTACAAATAAGCACCTGAAAATGTATTTTTAAGCAAGACAATATGCACTAAGAAGTAATATCTTGATTCACATTGCAATATCATAAATGAATCACCACAAGACAGGATCATAAGAAAGTGCACACATTTTGTTGAGTGAAACAATTAAAGAAGTTTTATTGCTCAATAGAAAGACAAGTATACAAACAGGAAATAACAAAACTGGGAACTTTAGCACAACACATCAAATGCT